CGATACAGAAATGGCGATAATACTGCATGCAGCTGTTTGGTGACTTGACTCAGCGAATTAATATCAGAAGCACGTTGAATATGTTGTGCAACCGCCAGTAGCAACTCATTTGGTAAATCGAGTAGCATGATACTATCTGCCAACAGCATGCACTGTAGATTTAGCTCACATAGAGTAAAAAGAAGACGTTGGTACGCTCAGGTAAGGAACAAACTTCTGAGTCGTTTCGACTTCATAAGCAACCTGACAGGTGGCGGGCAGTATCTGGAGGTACGAAGTTTGCTTGTTCTATTTTAGGTGGCCGACGCAGCCAGCCAATCATTCTAGATAAGTTATAGCTTACAAAAAAATGACTAAGCCAGACTGTTGGTAGGGTTATGCATGTTCTGATAATGTCTGTCGAACATATGGGATTCATGATCACCTCTTCTTGTCCTAGAGGATTGGATATGTTATCAACATGCTGAGATCTTGATCCAGAACATGCAAGAGTTTGAATTTTAGTGCATATGTGGTCAGATCGGCGTCGATTGACAGTCGGTCTTCACTCGCGGAGATGTCCTAGGAAGCAACGAGATGTCGAGCTACGAAGAATGTACGAAAGAGGAAGGAGAGGCCAGGTGTCAGTTGATACAGAAACGAAACGGTGTGGGTCAGGAAGACCAGCGATTCCCAGTGGTCATATCCCAGCAATGCCAAGACGGCCATTCAGGATTTTGGCCCAAAGGGATGAGGCTTCATGAAGTCGGACCCTGAGCGGTCGGACTCCGGGCGGTGGTCGAACGGCCTTCTGTCGGGGCTAGCTGGTTTCGAGATCTAGATCGCCCATTCGTCCAATCGATCGTGAATTCTTGCTGGTTTTGCAGGGGAGCTTTTGGCCTGCCTGCCCTCGGTCACGCCGAAGGATGCAAATGAATGAACAAGGAATGAATCACGCGAGGCACAGATGCGCCCACACATGATAATCTACAGGTCTAGCCACTCGGTAATCTTATCCGTCTCTGGCGACAACCACGTCCGGCGCTGATTGCACCTTTGGAACCTCGCATGCGACGCGGCAGCGAACTCGCGCACTTCAAAGAGCGTCACCAGCTTTCTCCTCCTTGTGTCCCCGTCGCTTCCGCCTAAGCAGCACCGCTCATAAATTCTCCGCCTGTTCGCTAACAGCACTCCTTTTCCTGTCTGGTGCACAAACGTCCACGGCTCCTTTCCGACAGCGCCTGCGCCTAGGTTGCGAGAGCTCGACTGCTGTGGAATATGCGGAGGCTTAGCAGCCTTGGCAAACAACTTCTGCTCGGCAACGTCTGCCGGCGTGAGCCCGTTGACGTTCTCCTTGGCCGCGAGCTCAGGTTCGTACGCGAGAAGCAAATCAATAAGCGCCCATGATATGACCCCCCGTCCGTGGCATGGGGTGTTCCCCTCGCTGTCCAAGAGCTCCAGGTGCTTGCAACCTAGAGGCTTGACATAATCTAGACTAGCGGCTAGTCCCGGCAATGTCGACGCGTCAAGACTCATGCACAAAATCAACCAAGCAAAGGCCGTGTGGATTACATTGCTGGAAAGACGGCGAGCGGTCAGCATGGATGGGAGGAGCTGACGATCGAGCAGTTCGAGCGCCTCTCGGATAGACCAGTCGGTAGGCCGCGAGCGACTCATATGTTGAATTCGCACATGTAACAGATTTCTACCATCGACGTCCCGGACCGTCTGATCTGCTCCGGCTTGTAT